AAAAATCAAGTCTTTTACCCCTTTACTTCCGCAACCCTACTTATTATTCAACATAGGCTCATTTTGAAAATGTAGCCCTATATATATTTCTGGAGATCACAAATTATGTTGCCAGAAGTACGTATGGCTGCATTTTGTCTACATAGCGGTATGACGCCTTTCCTTTTCGCACTAACCAGCTGATCGCTCACCTCTAGATGGACAGCTTTCCCGCTGTTACCAGTTTGCTCAGTAGCTCGCCATGCACGTCAGCAGATTTGAGATCCAAAGAGGAGTTGACCAGGACATTGGCGAACAGCAGATCCAGAAAGCAGGTAAGAATAAAAAAATAAATAAATAAACAAGTAAACAACACGGTGAGAATGTAGTAAAATCTAAAAATGTAGTAAAAGTCATGTGAGGGACCTTGTTTTTCTGGATTGCTTTTTAAAACTGTCAGTTGGGTTTAGGGAAGTGGGTGGACGGGTCAATCGGTGCTTTTGGAAATTCCATTGGTTGGGTTTAGGCAAAGGAGGGTGGGTCAGTCGATCAGTCAGTCAGTCAAACAGTTAGTCCACAGCGGCCTCAGGTGGATTTACGCCAGAAGAGCAGGCGCCAATGGCACTCGTGAGAGAAATTTGAGATCTCAAAAAGCATACACAGCGGCCTCTGGTGGATTCTGGAAAACAAAAACTGCAAAACATACCTCCTTGGACGTATTTGGCGCTCTCCAGAAATGTATATAGGGGTATGTGTTCGGAATGAGCCTGGGTTGTCAAAAATCTAACTTGATTTCCTAAAACAAGGTCACAAAACACATACTAAATAGTTCTACATCCAGTCGTTGACATTATGACCACTCTTTTACGAGCAAGGCTTTCAATTTTGTAACTTTAATTTATATAATATTATTTTAGGTTACACTCCCATGCTTTTAGACAATCGTGGAATGTTCTCCTAACATTCAAATAACCAAGAATAAACATGACTTAATTTAAATATCACCAAAATATTATTAAATATATACTCTTATTAGCTGGTTTGGCATGCAACTTAGCCAAATATAAGAATCAACATTCAACACATCATAAAATAGGATTCTTTTAAGGATTAATGTGAATATATAGACTAATTATTAAAAGCACAGGGAGAGTAAAACTCAACTTAGCAGAAGACAGATGAAGAGAAAAGAAACTCCACCACACACACACACACACTCACACACACACACACACACCTTTTACAAGGAGGAAACATTTTGCAGAACCTGGCAAGCCATATTGAATACAGTACAAGACCTCGCTGCCAAGAGTACAGCGTTTGTCTGACAAAGGCAAAAATCTTATCTGAGAGAAAACCTATAGGCCATGAAAGCACCTTTGTCAATAAAACAGTAGTTGCCATTTTGCATTTATGTGACTTGGAAATGTTAGCATACGAAATATATAGATTTTACTAAAAAAGAAACAGTTCTTATTTAAACATTTTCAACTATAGTTAATATATTATACTTAGTATTTTATTAGTTAATATATAAAACTATAGTAATAAATATTTTATAAAGAACAACTACATTGTAAAACCCAAAACGTTAAGGTAAATTGTTAGTCAATTGACATCAAATCAAATTACATTTTTACGTGTTTTTTGACACCAATGTTAGATTTCAATATGATGACCTTGCGATATTCAATTGACATCAAATCAATTAGCATTTTTGACGGCAATGTTAGATGAACATTTTATGTAATTTTGACATCAAGGTAGTCATATGACATCAAATCGGTTAGCATTTTTTACGTTTTTTGACACAAATGTTAGATGTCAATTTGATGACATTAGGTAGTCAGTTGAAATCAACTCGATTAGCATTTTTATGTGTTTTTGACGCCATTGTTTGAAGTCAATTTGACGTAATTTTGACATTGTAAGTCAATTGACATCAAAACAAATAGCATTTTAACGTGTTTTTTGACGCCAATGTTAGATGTCAATTTGACGACATCACGATAGTCAATTGACATCAAATCAATTAGCATTTTAACGTGCTTTTTGACGCCAATGTTAGATGTCAATTTGACGACATCACGATAGTCAATTGACATCAAATCAATTAGCATTTTTGACGCCAATGTTAGATGTCAATTTGACGACATCACAATAGTCAATTGACATCAAATCAATTAGCATTTTTGACGCCAATGTTAGATGAACATTTATGTAATTTTGACATAAAGGTAGTTAAATTACATAAAATAGGTTAGCATTTTGTCATGAACTTTAGATGCCAATTTGATGTCATTGGACATTTTTACATGTTTTTGACACCGATGTTAGATGTTAATTTGATGTTATTCTTACATCAACTTAGTCAATTGACATCAAATCAATTAGCATTTTTACGCGTTTTTTGACATCAATGTTAAATGTACATGTGATGTCATATTGACATAAAGGTAGTTAAATGAAATCAGATTTGTTTGCATTTTTGTTACCAATTTTAGATGTCAGTTTGATGTAATTTTGACATCAAGGTAGTCATATGACATCAAATTGATCTGCATTTTTTACATGTTTTTTGACACCAATGTTAGATGTCAATTTAATATCATTTTAACATTCGGTAGTCAGCTGACATCAACTCGATTTGCATTTTTGTTTTTTGATGCCAATATTTGAAGTCAATTTGACGTCATTTTGACATTGTTAGTCAATTGACATCAAATCAAATAGCATTTTTACGTGTTTTTTGACGCCAATGTTAGATGTCAATTTGACGACATCACGATAGTCAATTGACATCAAATCAATTAGCATTTTTGACGCCAATGTTAGATGAACATTTTATGTTATTTTGACATAAAGGTAGTCAAATTACATCAAATCGGTTAGCATTTTGTCACCAACTTTAGATGCCAATTTGATGTCATTTTAACATCAAGGTAGTCATATGACATCAAATTCATTAGCATTTTTACATGTTTTTTTTTTTCTGACCAACTTAGTCAATTGACATCAAATTGTTTTACATTTTTAAGTGTTTTTTGACGCCAATATTTGAAGTCAATTTAATGACATCAAGATAGTCAATTGACATCAAATAATAAGCATTGTTGCATTTTGACATCAAGGTTGTCAACTGAAATAAAATCAATTAGCATTGTTATGTTTTTTGACGCTAATATTTGAAGTCAATTTGACATAATTTTGACATTGTTTGTCAACTGACATAAAATCAAATAGCATTTTTTACGTGTTTTTTGATGACAATGTTAGATGTCAATTTGATGTAATTTTATCATCAAGGTAGTCACTTGACATCAACTCGATTAGCATTTTTATGTTTTTTGACTCCAATGTTTAAAGTCAATTTGACGTCATTTTAACATTGTTAGTTAATTGACACCAAAACGATTAGCATTTTTGAAATGTTTTTTTGTATGTCAATTTGACATCAGGGCTGGGAAGCACAGTTTGCAATATAAAGTGTTTTTTCTTGATCACACTCATGCATGTGATGCTCTTTCACCAGTTCGTCTTGTCGTTCTTCTTCTTATCGGTGTGTTTTCAGAGGTGATGTCATTTCAGACCAGTGTGGCCCTGGGAACCATCCCACTGTTGCTTTATGGTGACACGAAGGCCTGATCCATTTCCTGCTTCCTGGCAGTGCGACTTGGCAGTGTCTACAGCTTAAAACCGGCATTTAGTGTCGAGAGCAGCCCGAACAAAAACCTTGTTAGCAGCAAGTCAGGCACTAATTAACCGGTATTAATTTGCCCTGGCAAGGAGACATCATTATAACACCCTGTAGAGGGAGGGAGACAGCGAAGTGCAAAAGACACACCACAGCCCAGTCCGAATATGGAGAACACTTGCTTGCATTGAGCGTGTTTTCTGGGAAAGAGGAATCATCGAAGAGTTTTATCAGGCCTCTGTGCTGCTTCAGGCCCCGACACGTCAGGAAATTTAGGACTTGGCAAGTCAGAGCCTGCTGAGTGACTTATTGCAGGAATCAGCAGTGATAAATTCTCACTAATGGTTTCAGAGGTTGAAAAAGTGTTGGGCTTGAAGGGGGCATGAGGAGAGAAATGAAAGGAATCAAACTTGTTTGTCTCTGAATTTCTGCATTCAGTGACTGGAAAGTGAGCAGTGTAAATGTCTGATGAAGACAGTAAGAGTCAATTGAAGATGGCAACTCATTTGATAAACACGTTTAAGGTTTCCTGTACACTGAATGCAATATGTTGAGTGAGTGATTATTGCATGTGCAAATAAGGAATTGCATTATCAGTCCCTCCAGAACTTTAACTATTTTTGAGATCAACAAAAACAATTTTTGCATAAGATAATGCCATGAGTATGATTATAACATCTTCGTAGGCTGCAAACATGAAAAAATGATACCTAAAAAACCCTGAAAGGACTAATTATGGCCACCCAGGCTCATTCTGAAAACGTAGCCCTGTGGACGTTTCTAATGGCCACGAAATATGTCCTGGGAGGTGCGTGTTTTTGCAGTTTTTGTTTTCGCGAATCCGCGAGAGGCCGCTGTGTGCACTTTTTGTATCTCAAATGCCTCTCGCGAGTGCCGTTAGCGCCCGCGCTGCTCTTACATGAACCCACCAGAGGCCACTGTCGAATGATCGTCTCTCCGACTGGCTGAATGATTGACTGGGCGACCGGTTAATTGGCTGACCCACCCACAACCTTCCCTAAGCACAACCAATTTTACCAATTGACCCGCCGCCCACCCGCTTACTTTCCTAAACCCCAACCAACGATTTACAAAAAGCCGTCCAGAAAAAGAAAAGCCCTGGTCTGGTTTTTACCACCTTTTCAGATTTAACCACATTCTTACCGTTTTACGAACTTGTTCACCTTATTTTCGGCGGTCAGCCGATAAGCACGAAAAGGAACGGCGTCATACCGCCCTGTACCGTTCGCTTAAAAAATGAAATGCAGCTATACGTACCTCTGACTTCATAATTCGCAGTCTCCAGAAATGTCTGCGGCGCTACATTTTCAGAATGAGCCTGGGTTGGATTATGATCTTTTAAAATGCAAATTTAAATGAATAAAATGATGGATTCCTATCTATTACATATTCAGATGTACACAAGAATATATGAGCACTGAAATGATTGATCAATCAATCATTCAAGCAATAAATAAATAAATAAACTCAGGCTCATTGTAGATATGTACCCAGGTCTGCATTTCTGTGGACAGCAAAATAAGTGAGCAGAGGTACATCTGCACGCAGTTTTTGTTTTCGCAAATCCACCAGAGGCCGCTGTGTTTGTTTTTTGTTGATCCTACATTTGTCTCATGCGTCCTCTTCTTATACACTTCAGACAATATACACTTCAGCCAGCAAGGACAGCTTGCGGTCAACTAACCAACCGACTGACCCTCCCACACCCATCCCTGAACCAATGGTGTTTTCAATAGAAAAGAAAAGCCACTGCGACCGTGTGATTTCACCACATTTTTAGCTTATTTCTTTCTTTATATTTTTGCTTTTGTTTTACCTGGTTTCAGGAACCGTTCTTCACCAGACTCAAACTTCGTCATTGCAGTCAACTCCGCTCCATGTGCCAAGTCTGCCAACATATGTGGCGAGCTACTGGGCAAACTGGTAACACTATAAAAATCTGTCCGTATGGAGATAAGTGGTCAGCTTGTAGCACTAAAAGAAGCAGAAGCCATCTACGGCATCATATTGCCCTGTTGCGTTTGTTTTAAAGACGAAATGCAGGTATACGTACTTCTGACTACATAATTTTCGCTGTCCAGAAATGAAGTCAGGGGTTCATATCCACAATTAGCCTGTGTTGCAATATTTTCAAAATGTATTGATTTACGCTAACAATACACAACAAACAAACAACATTTTCAGATTTTACCAGATTCTCACCCTGTTATTTACTTATTTATTTTATTTTTTGGCTTCTGTTTTTGGCTTATCTGCTTTCTGGAACTGTTCCTCACTGAATTCGACCCTCGTTGTTGTAGTCAGCTCGTCTCTGCGTTTCAAATCTTCCGACGTATGAGGTGAGCCACTGGACAAACTGGTAACAACGGGAAAGCCGTCCATATGGAGCTTAGCGGTCTGCTGGAAAGTGCGAAAAGGCCTAGCATTCTTAGGAATACGTTATTTTAATTTTTGGAAGGACTTTCCCTTTCCCTTGGATCTGTAGACACCAACATTGCCTCATTCTGAAAACTTATACCTATATAGATTTCTGGAGGTCGCATATGATGTAGCCAGAAGTATGTATGGCTGCATTTTGCCCTTAAAATTAACACTTCAGGGTGGTATGACTCAGTTCCTTTTCGCACTTTTGAGCTGATCAATCGATCAGTCGGGTCAATCGATGTTTTTGAAAACACTATCGGTTGGGGTTAGGGAAGGAGGAGGGCGGGTCAGTTGATCGGTCAGTCAGTCAACAGCAGCCCCTGGTGGATTTCTGCGAGAACAGCAGGCGAGAATGGTACTTGTGAGAGAAATTTGAGATCTCAAAAAGGCTGGTAGATTCATGAAAACAAATACTGCAAAAAATAAATAAATAAATAAATAAATAAAAAATTAAATTCCTACCTCCTGGTATGTATTTGGCACTCCCCAGAAATGTATATAGGGGTACATTTTCAGATGGAGCCTGGGTGGGTAGATTTAAAAAAAAGGATGTGTTTGATTGTTTTTCCATTGTGAATGACTCATTCCAGACCAGAGCACTTAAAATAAGTGATATTTCCAGGTTTTCCCCTTTATCGTGAGAATTCTGTAAAACACAAATGACAAAATTAGGCATCAAAAAGTAGGCTATTAACACTTTATTACAGTAATTACACAAAATCTGCGGCTTACTCTAAAAAAAAAAAATATGTAGGACAAGAATCAAGGAGCACTAAATTAAACGTTATGCAATCATTAGTTAACAAGTTTGTAGCATATATATAAATATAAACGAACAAACCTGAATACAAGCTGTTATGCCAATAAAAACAGCGATCAGTCTCACATCAGGTACAAATAAGTCCTTCAAGTAACAAATGCAGATATATTTCTTGCTGTGTTCTTGGAAGAGGTTTGCTGGAGACAGTGAGGTGTCGTTGAAGGCACTCGCTGGCAGATGTCGGGGAAGGGAGTCTGGACTTCCCACGAAGCCTAACTTTGGGCACGTTGCCACCAGCTGAGATTATCTTTCCTCTCTCACAAAGGCGAGAGCAATTCCTCCTCACTGAGAGATGTTAATTTAAAACGTCCTGCGCCAGAAGAAAGGCCCACGCTTGATTACAGCGTTAAAGCTGATGTTCAACTTTTATTTCTCCTGAAAAGTGTCGCAGTTAGAGATACAAAAACACACACACACACGCATGCACGCACACACATATACACACACATATACACACACATATACACACACACACACACACACACACACACACACACACACACACACACACACACACACACACACACAGTTGACAGAAGCTCTTACATGTAGTGTACTAAAACTAGCAATAAATAATTAAATAAATAAACAAATAAATCTTTATAAATTCTTTAAAAAATCCTTAAAATGTTAAAATAAACATAATAAATGATCAAATAAATAAATAACTAAATCTTTACAAATGATTAAAAAAATCCTTAAAAATAAGTAAATAAACAAGCAAACAAATAAATAAATAAACAAACATATAAATAAATAAACAAATAAATAAATCTTTGAAAGTTCTTTAAAACATTTTTTAAATATTCAAATAAAAATAAGTAAATAAATAAACAAACAGACAAATAAATAAATAAAAAAACTAATAAAAACTATTTTAAAAATCTTTACAAATTGTTTTTAAAAAAATCGTTAAAAGTATTTAAATAAAAATAATGAAATAAACAAATAAATAAACAAACAAACAGATAAATAAACACATAAATAAATAAACAAATAAATAAATAAATCTTTAAAATTTCTTTAAAACATTTTTTTAAATATTCAAATAAAAAGAAGTAAATAAATAGACAAAAAGACAAATAAATACATTTAAAAACAAATAAAAAAACAATTAAAAAAATCTTTTAAAAATCTTTAAAAAATAATCCTTAAAAATATTTAAATAAAAATAATGAAATAACCAAATAAATAAACAAGCAACAAATAAATGAATAAATCTTTTAAAATAATTTTTTAAAAACTCCTCAAAATATTAAAATAAATAAGCAAAAAAAAACAACAACAAATCTTTAAAAAACAATCCTTAAAATATAAAATAAAATAAATAAAATAAGTACATAATAATAATTATAATCATAATAATAAATGAATAAATAGTATTTCAACTTAAAACTAGAAATTTTTAAAATGTTTTTTAAATTAGAATTATTTTTTTATATAAACATATATACATCTTAAATAAGTTTTAAAAAAATACTGTTCGTGTAAACTAAAATGCTCAAAACTATGCAGTTTTGTCTTTTTATATGCTTGAATATTACTTAATTTTAGTCAACTCTACATTCAAACTTGAATTTTAACATTTTAAACCTTTTAGTTTTGAGTTTGTCCACAGGTGAGACCTTTTTCACATACATTTTCACAGCACATTTAAAAAAATAATAATAAACCTAAACTTATCTTGAAAGTATATATAATCTGCACATATCATGTTTCATTTTCAAGTGTGAATGTGGTATTATTCTTAAAACTAGCATTGCAATCTAACTAAATATCACATTTTGCACTTCATATGTGAAATTTCTAATGAAATGTTGTGCAATATGAGATTAAATTAATTTGATAAGACCTATAAAAAATCTTAAATTAAGTTAAAAGCGTGTAAAATGTTTTACACTATACCATTTCTTATCTTTCACTGCAGAAAGCAAGACATACACACACATACACACACACACACACACACATATATATATATATATATACACTTTATGAGATTTCAAGTTGTGCAGTCTCAGTTTTTTTTTAGTTTTTGTCTGAAGGATGGTATGGATGGCTGCTATGGGGGTCTTTCTCCAGGAACAATGCCAACAATTAAAATCAGATGTTACACATTCGCTTCGGCCTTGGGAAATCACACAGTGTAAGTCAAAAAAGCGTTTGGGAAATACACACGGTAGGGCTCTTCGGGGAGAGGCGCTATTATGCTGCCGTGTTTGCGTATGTCGTTTTTAACGTATCCATTAACGGCTGAATGCACACAACAGTAACTGATGTTGCTCTGTTTATCCAGCGGAGGGAGGATTGTCACATATGGGTTCTAGATTGTTCCCCCTATATCAACACTAGGCTACATGGTCTTCCATAAAGGTCAGCGTAGACTCAAAAAAAGTATATTTGTTGTTTGTCCAAACTACTTATATAAAATAAGCTGAAACAACACAACTCTTGAAGGTTTTTGTGACAACTTTTCATTCCTTCATGTTCAAATCATTTATTCATTCATTTTCTTTTCAGCTTAGTCTCTTTATTAATCCAGGGTCGCCACAGCGGAATGAACCGCCAACACGTTTTCCGCAGTGACTGCCCTTCCAGCTGCAACCCATTTCTGGGAAACATCCATACACACTCATTCACACTCATACACAACAGACAATTTAGCCTACCCAATTCACCTGTACCGCATGTCTTTGGACTTTGAGGGAAACCAGAGCACACGGAAGTAACCCATGTGAATGCAGGGAGAACATGCAAACTCCACACAGAGACGCCAACTGACCAGCCAAGGCTCGAACCAGCGACCTTCTTGCTGCATGTCCACTTAAATTTTATTCATTTAATAATTTTTCTTCTGGTTAGTCCCTTAATTATCAGGAGTCACCACAGAGGAATGAACAGCCAATTTTTTACACAGCGTATGCCCTTCCAACCACAACCAAGTACTGGGAAACACCCAGGGGTGGAAAGAGTACTGAAAAGTCATAGTAAAAGTACCATTACTGGCATAAAAATGTAGTGCAGTAGAGTAAAAGCATCTGTTGTAAATATTACTCAAAGCATTAGTAAAAAGTAGCCCTTTCAAAAGTACTCAAGAGTAGTGAGTATTACGCTGTTAAAAGCTGATGCATGTACATGTAATTTGTGTAAAAAGTGTGTAAACGTAACATTCTGTAGTGCATTTAGTTATTGCCCAGCAGGCAAGTCCGAGGCCATGGTGCTCCTCCGGAAAAAGGTGGTTTGCCATCCCCAGGTTGGAAAAAAGTCCTTACCCCAGCTGGAGGAGTTTAAGTATCTTGGGGTTTTGTTCACGAGTGAGGGGAAGGATGGAACGTGAGATTGACAGGCGGACTGGTGCAGCAGCAGCAGTAATGCGGTCGATCTACCGGTCAGTTGTGTTAAAGAAGGAGCTGAGCCGAAAGGCAAAGCTTTTCATTTACGGGTCAATCTACATTCCTACTCTCACTTATGGTCATGAGCTTTGGAGTTTTTTTTTTTTTGTTGTTGTTGAGCTTTTTAAAAACAAACAAACAAACATTTGGATAATTTAATAAACATTTATAAAAGCAATTGAATGTAATCAGTCACACGAATTGACTCTGAATAGTTACCCTACTTATTACATAATAGAGTGCCTTAGCTACTTTCATTCTTTATGTAACAGGTATGAAAATTATAATTCGCTTCAAGTATAGAATTACACAAAATATGTATTTTATCTAATGTGTTAGTAAGTGTACCTGAGGTGTTTGTTAGTGTGTGTCTTTTCCTTTAAATTTCTAAGGGAGCTCACGCTGTTTAATTTCCTGTTTTGCACCCGCCTCTTCCCTTTCTGCACTGACTGCGCATGGGAGAGGTGGGTGTCTGCTAAGCTCCAATTAATCTTTAATCATCTTTACTTTATAAATAACTTTTAAAGCTAGTTTTCATGTTTAAATAATATTTATACCTTCATTTTTCACATATATTTCATTATTTTTGTGTTATCACTTAAATTGAGGCTTTGATTGACTTTAGCCTAACTGAAGCATGTGAATGCTAAATGCATTGAACTTTACTTTTAACAGAAAAGCTGTAAGGGCGAAGATACACTGTAAAAGCTGTGCTTTTTGTTTATTCTCAGTGAGTAAAGAGCCGTCACAACTGCAGATCTCCGACTGGTTATTCCTTCATAAAACTAAGAAAACACAACGCAGACCCGGTAACATTTAATTCATTAATTTTCCTTCGGCTTTGTCTCTGACTAATCAGAAGTCACTACAGCGGAATGAACCACCAACTAATCCAACATTTGTTTTACGCAGCGGATTCCCTTCCAGCCGCAATTGGCCATATACTATGGATTTGGATGGATTCGCTCTTCAGTGTTTGAACTCTCAGCACCCTGCTGAAAAATCCAGCTTAAACCAGCCTAGGCTGGTTGGCTGGTTTTACCTTGTCGACCAGGCTGGTTTTAGAGGGGTTTTGGCCACTTCCAGGCTGGTTTCAGCCATTTCCAGCCTGGACTTAGCTGGTCAGGCTGGGAGATGACCAGCTAAATTTATTTGCCCTAGCAATGACTAGCAAGCAACATGCTAATAATGATTAGCTAAGTACTTTAACATGCTAGAAATGCTTACTAAACATTGAGGAATATCTATAGAACGCCACTTTTTTATCTATCTATCTATCTATCTATCTATCTATCTATCTATCTATCTATCTATCTATCTATCTATCTATCTACATATCTACATATCTATCTATCTATCTATCTATCTATCTATCTATCTATCTATCTATCTATCTATCTATCTATCTATCTATCTATCTATCTATTTATCTATCTATCTATCTATCTATCTATCTATCTATCTATCTATCTATCTATCTATCTATCTATCTATCTATCTTCATATCTATCTATCTATCTATCTATCTATCTATCTATCTATCTATCTATCTATCTATCTATCTACATATCTATCTATCTATCTATCTATCTATCTATCTATCTATCTATCTATCTATCTATCTATCTATCTATCTATCTATCTATCTATCTATCTATCTATCTATCTATCTTCATATCTATCTATCTATCTATCTATCTATCTATCTATCTATCTATCTATCTATCTATCTATCTATCTATCTATCTATCTATCTATCTATCTATCTATCTATCTACATATCTATCTACATATCTATCTATCTATCTATCTATCTATCTATCTATCTATCTATCTATCTATCTATCTATCTATCTATCTATCTATCTATCTATCTATCTATCTATCTATCTATCTATCTATCTATCTATCTATCTTTTCATACTTTTTAAAACTGTTTTTAAACTAAATAAACTATTACCGTCAGGCTTTCTCAAGCCAGCCTAAAAGTTTGTCTCGACGAACTTTAATAATCTAGATGTATTTGTCACTC